CAGCTATGGTGTTACAGACTGTCTGCTGGGAAACAGCTCTCATTAGAAGGAAGGGCTGTCTGTACTTACACGTCTCTATCTTAGCTGATTTGGGAGAAAGATTGTGTTGTTGGTCTTAACTAAAGCAAACAGAAAAACTTAGTTTCTTGAGAAAACTAGTTAGAACTCCGACTCTGGTTTTCATTAGTATCTCTTTCTTTATGCACCGCCAAGCCCCACTCTTTGTGTTTCTAGTTGTCATGTGATCTGAAACACTTTCATTTTCTACACATTCATGGTTTGTTCATACACTGAAAGCATGAAGACAGTTCACACTCGGGGATTAAGGGATTCCCATGCAACTAATCCTGTACATTTTATTATTTTTATCTTTAGATATACTTGCCTTATTTCATGAGAATGAATGTTTTGCTTGTGTATATATATGTATGTGTGCCATATGTATGCCTGGTGTCTGCAGAGGCCAGGAGAGGGAATCAGATTCTCTAGACTGGAGTTGTAAATGGTTCAGAGTCACCAGATAGGTGCTGGGAACTGAATGCAGGTCCTCTGCAAGGGCAACAAGTGCTCTTCCCTGCCAGGTATCTGGCTCCTAGCGCTGTGTGTACTAAAGGAACACAGATGTTTAGACAGCATAATTGTGTTACACAAGGTATCTCCATTGACCAAAGTGAGAAGCTGAAGTGAAGAAAATAAGCGTGGCATACTTCAGCGGAAGGATTATGAAGAAGATATTTTTTTCAATGTGCATCTGTGCTTTCTGAACTAGGGACACAAAGTTCATCCTGTTTTTTATTAATTTTTTTTATTTTACAGAATGACAAAAAGTAACCTCTGGGATGGGGATCATGGCTTTAGAAATCAGTTATGCCCTAAAACACTATTTACAGTCAAATTATTCAATGTGGAAGGAATGCAGTTAAGAATATGGTGGCATGCTTCTTGCAATGCCTAAAGTCCCAGAGTACTTTCTTTTCTGAAACATAGTTTTGAAAAAGATGATAATTTTAGAAGCTGGACACACAGTACTGATCCTGTTCCCAGCTCTGGCTCTCAGTACCAACAGGCAGAGAACTCCACTGACTCATATTTAAAAAGTTTTCACTCAGCCAGGCAATGGTGGAGCATGTCCTTAATCCCAGCACTCGGGAGGCAGAGCCAGGCAGATCTGTGAGTTCGAGGCCAGCCTGATCTATAGAGCTAGATCCAGGACAGGCACCAAAACAACACAGAGAAATCTTGTCTCGAAAAAAATGAAAAATAAAAAAACAAAACAAAACAAAGCAAAAAGTTGTCACTCAGGATTCAAAGTGTATGCTTTTATCTACATGTGTACAATGGAAATCTCAGTGGGATGCTTGGGTGGGTTATTGGTGTGTGTGTGTGTGTATGTGTGTACTTCTGCTATAGTGACCATGTCTAGGGGAAGAGGCCTTGAACTCCTTCGTCCTTATTGTACCAATCAGTGAGTCTAACATCCATGATTGTTTAGATGAATAGAAGGTGTGAATATTTAATTTGAGGGAAGTGCAGATGTCTTATAGCTTCAGGCATCTACATTCTTGGGCAAGTTGTGTTTTCGCCCTTGGAAGCAAGTAGTGGGATGAACATTGTCTTGGGTATGATGTATTGACTAGCCTGGCTCCTAGGTTATGAAGATATTATTGCTTTCGATGTATTCAGTGTCACAGTTTTTAGGTAGTCTTCTTGTAACAGGACTAAAAGCTAGCTTATTTCAGGAGATGTGCTAATGAACAGATGCCAAATTCTACTCCTTTGGTTGAGATGGTAGATATCCCGATCTGTTAGAGTCCCAGATGGAAAAACCTCTAAAATGCACACACATGTATTTTTTTTTTTCTGTGATTTCTCCCATCTACTCTTGAGCTCTTTTCTACCTTCTTCTTACCACCCCTTAAACAACTGTGGCCACAAGAGGTCTACGTTAATCCTCACTCTCAGTGCCGAACTGTCCAAAACACAGTGAGCTGACTAACAACTGATGAGGAAGGGAACCTGAGCCGAGACAAAGGTACTGAGACTCAGGGATATTTTCTTGCAACTTTCACAAATGGCATAACAAGGCTCTGCATCTGGACTTTTCAGTTGTTAACTGGGTTCCATTCCTTGCTTTTAGTATATTCTCATTCTGTCTTATTCTTTAATAGTCAGGAAGACTTACGCAAAGATTTGTTTTTGTCATTGAGATTTCCGTCTATTTATTTATTTATTTTTTGGTTGAGGAGGGCAAGATCGCATGCACCACAGGCAGGTGTCAAACTCACTATGCTGAAAAAAGCAGGCCTGGAGCTCCCGCCCTTCCTGCCTCTGTGCCAAATGCTATGTTACTGATATTTCTTATGAAGAAAGATCAGGTCGATCCAGGGGAGACTGTGTTCTAAAGGCCTCGGTGACCATCTGTGGATGCTGGTGGCATATCTACTTGGTCACTTCTCTTCTGCAGCTACTAGTCTACCGACCCTATCTCCATTACTAAAGACCAACACAGGAGACTGGTGTCTCAGTTCTTTCCTGGTTCCTGAGCTAAAACCACCCTGACAGAAGCAATTTAAGGGAGAATGGCTTATTTTGGTTTGCAATTCCGAGGTTTATACTCCATCATGGTGGGCGAGTCATGACAGTAGGCAGAGGAGACCTGGTGGTCGGAGCTAGCTGCTAGCTGGTCACATTTTATCCACACTAAAAAAGCAGAGGGAACAGGAAACGGAGCTGGGCATAAAACCTCAAGTACCATACACAGTGATCCATTTCCTCTAGTGAGGCCCTACTTCCTAAAATTCCACAACCTTCCACAATAGAGTTGACAGCCGGGACTAAGTATTTAGATATGTCAGCCAATGGGGTGGGGGCACAGTTCATGTTCATCTCACAGCCAGGACCTTCATGGGCAGTGTCAAGTACTGGAAAGAGGGAGGTTTGCTTTTCTCTTCGGTGTTTTTGGGTTTGAAAGTTTAAAAAACAACAACAAAACAAAACAGACAAAACAAACAAAAACCCCTGTCTTTACCATATATTAGCCATGCAGATTTCTTCACCTTCTTCCACCACGCCTCTGTAAAAGATGGGAACTATGAATACATGTGTCCTTGGTGTTGTTGTGGCTGCTGCACAGCTTCCTAAGCAAAGCAGAAGTGCCGCAGAGGGCCCGCCGCCTGGGTCTGCTCGAACACACTCCTTTCTCTTCGCCATCTCTACTGTTTATCTTCTGAAAATTTTCACCATGCTGCTTTGTTTCCACCCTGGTCACACTCTTGGTTTTGCTGGCGATTCTGCATTCTTGTGCTGTCCTCTCCTTCACCAGCTTGAGAGGGTTCCTCATCTTTGGAGGAACAAGAGGTTGGGATTACTAAGGGGACTATGCACTTCCCAGAGCCTAGGAGCAGAGTTTTAATGAGTTCTTTGACTGGAAGCGGAGGAAGGAAGGAGCTGAGCTGTCCTCCGATTCCAACCTGCCTACTACCAGGGTCTCAAAGCTGGCTGAATGTGGATGGCTGTGTGCATATGAAATGACTGAAGGTTTCTGTTCCAGCCGCTGGCATGAGAGAAGAATGACTGGGTTTATTAATGATCTTGCAGAGCTATGAGCTGACAGTCTATTTGTTTTCATTATGTAAACCAGCGTGGTTTGGGATTATGCAGATTTGCACCTTTTTACTTAGAAGCCAAAGAATATTCATTAAGGATATCAATAAAGACCAAGCCTGGTGATTGAATCTCCAAAGCTGTCCCCTGCATGCTGAAAGACAGAAAACTTAAGGGGTTGAGAGGATGAGAGATTGATTGGAAGGCAAATTATAAACCCATTTCAGCTCTTGGCCTGCAGGCTGGGAAGTAACGTTATTTGTTGTCAGGGATGGGAAACAACTCAGCTTCAGGTCCAAGCGATTATTCCACGTTGCCACTGCTGCCTCTCTGCCAACCGCGGCTCCATTTAGACATAGATTAATTAGGCTGGCAGAGGGGGAGGTGGGCGGTGAGAGCAGGTCTGAAGCGGGCTGCTCTGCCATCGTCTCCGCTTTGGAGGTCTGGAGATGTGCCCCCCAGGAAGACGACAACCCTCTTTCATTGCTAAAACCCACAGCAAACCCGGGTGAGACAGTGTGGATGGAAAACACTCTGAACTTCTATAGTAATTCACTGCACATGTCTACGGACTTCCTTAACGCCGGAGAGTCAGAAAAAAAAAATCTCCAAACTTAGTTACTGGCAGGCTGTCCCCATGGAGACAGGGGGGACCAGCTAGCAATCTGTAGACTTGAGTGGCTTATCCATCTTTCCTCTGTATAAACCATGTAGGACTTTTTATTATTCCTGCACGTGAAATAGAAATGGTAGTGTATACACACACGTGGATATATTATGCCCATTATCTGAATTATGGGACAGATGGGATAAAAATAAGGAAAACTCTCGGGGGGAGTGAGCCCCAAGTTAGTTCATTGAAAACAGTATTTTATAGACTTGACAAGAGGGCTTTAGTTCCTCACCGGCATCCTTCTCAGCGGCTTTCTCACGGGGAGTCTTTGACCTGGACGTCTTTCATATTCTGCTTGTATCTCAGCTGACAACATCTGTTTCCTCAAGGGCCGGGACAGTGTGGGGTTCATTTGTAACTCACTCGACCACCACCTTAGTGAGGGCAAGATGGGAGTGGAGAGCTGGGGGCTAGGCAGGCGTTCCTGCCCTCGGGTGGGGGTGGGGAGCCTGGAGATTATCAACAGCACCCAGTCCATCCTCTCCAGCATTCTGGGCACCGCGGCAGGCGCCCACACCGCCAGCGTAGCATCCCCCTGGTGGGCATTCTGCAGCAGCAGCCTGTGTTGGTGCTGCTCGGGGGCTGTGGTGAGCAACGGCTATAAGACTCCAATAGGGAACCCTTGCAGTGTGTGGATTCTTGCCTCTCCATGAAAACTCAGAGGAGGAATTTTCTCTTTTACTGTTAACACTTCATGGCACGGATTTTTTTTTCTTCCCCCCAGTGGTGGCGCTGAGCTGAACGCGGTGCGAGCAGAAGGGGGCGGTACTTTCCGTCTGGACCCTGACTTGGAAGCCAAGTGCGACTCCAGGGCAGTCACCACCAGAAGCAGATGTGCGATCCATCGGAGCAGCTGTGTGCCTTTCTTTCTGCGGAGGTTAGCTTGTTTGGGGTTGTTCTTTTCCACGTGGAAGTGCGGGTGTTTGGCTTTCCTCCTTCCTCAGCGGGGCTTTCGTGCGTTTAAATATTGATGGTTTCATTTTAAAAACAAATATTTTGCATTTACTTATTAAAAGGGGAAGGGGAGATACGCTACTGCTTTGGGGTGGGGTAATAATGTTCAGATGAATTGTGAATTATATACTAAATCACATGCATTTTACCGTTATTAAATCTCACCTACATTTAAAGCATGGAAATTTACAGGGGTTACCCCCTATTTCTTTTCTTCTTACCATTTTAGACTCTTTTCCATTACAAGAAGAGAAGCCAAGATCGTTTTTAGCCACTGAAGGACTTATGTAGCACTTATTCTTACAGGTAAGTGGTCTGTTTATCACAGGTGACTTAGAAAACTTACCTGGTCTGCTCCGTTGGGGCCTCTCAGCTATGTATGGCACGTGTTCAATTCATCTTACTTTTAATAGTCATAGTAATGAAGTTATTTCAAGGTATCAATATTTTTTAAGTAGCTCAATTGCTCTGCTTTGAATCTTCTCACCCACTGGCTATAATCTCTATTCCACTATCAAGACTCTCAGTATTTCTGTCTTCTTAGAATGCCAGCCAACAGCCTAGCTAGAAGGGCTTTGTAATTCTCTCTCTCTCTTCCTCTCTCTCTCTCTCTCTCTATATATATATATATATATATATATATA